TTTTCATAGAAAACAGGAAGTCCCCTACAATAGCAATAGAGGCATTTGTTTTAGTTCCTCAGCAAGGGTGTGTAGAAGAGGGGAGTCTGACACACAGTCTGTTGGGTCACTGCCTTAACACCCTATCCTCAGTCCTCTTAGGCAGATCTGCTGCATTGCAAATGTTGATGACTTCTGTAGGAACAACTTGGCAGAAGGGATTGTCAGTTTGTTTCCTAGCATAGCACCTGGTACTTAGGAGATATTTCGTAACTGGAGCATTCATACAATTATGTTGATGAAGAGGGCGGAGAGCCAGCCCCATAATCCCATTGGATACTTTGCTATGGGAGGTCCTCAAAAAATGTTTGGTGATTAGCCTAAAACAAACTGGTAAATGTTCACAGAAACTTGAATTTCTTCTACATGACAGCTCCCAAGGAACTAGAGAGAATCATTTTGTGACATCCACTTTCAGGCTACTTAGCTTGTATTTCCTAGCTCTACCATAAAATTTTGACTCCTAGAAATGTCCTGAAGTTAACTATGGTTGTGAGCAGTTTATCTAAAAGGCAAATCACAGTGAATGTCTTTTTTATTTATATAGAGGAATGATAGCTTCAGTAATGTCATTCTAAATCAGCAATAATAGAAGCCACACCTTCTACCCTCTTTTCTGAGGTAGTGGCTGTAGTGTGGGTAGTGGGGGTCAGTGGAATAATGCTGCACAAACTCCCCAGGTCAGAATGGATTGTTCTGATATGGAAGCCTATAAAAAATTTAAAAATCAGCTATTTAGGTTTTTCAAGTTCTACCAGTGAGCAGGAACTTCAGTATCTCCCCTAAAATGCAGAGGGTTTGATTGAAGTACAAGTGCATGTGTGTATATCTACAGATGAAAGGAAACTCAGGAGGAAATTTTCTTTGTTCTTCCAGGATTTCAAGGGCGTTTCAATGAAAGAGACTTAAGACTTGTTAAAAATTATAGATTGTTCCTGGTTGTTCTATAGTTTCTCCTCCTACATGTCTGCAATAGAAACAGCCCAAGTTGTCACTAAAGTCCCTTAGCCACTATTATTTGTTTCCCTTGAACTTCTTTCAGCCCTTCTGTGCTTGCTTTCTTCTCTCACCACTGCGTGGGTTACACATACAATTAAATGCAGGCAGTCACTGCCACATGCACAAAAATGTCCCTCCTGAGATACCTCTATTACATGGGGAGCAACAGGCTGCCAAGCCACACAAGTGACAGCAGACACCTTACTTTATAAATACGTTGATTAATTTGTTCATCATCATTCACCAAACTTCCACAGAACTTCTACTATGTGTGATACTAACATAGCTTGAGGCCCTGGCCTCGGTATCCCTGTTCTGTTCCCCAACACAGGTGTTCCCGCTGTCTTACATTACAACAGCATTGTCCTGCATTTGTTGCTTATGGACTTATCGACACTGCTGGGCCCATCTGTACTGGGAGCTGTATGACAACAAGGACTATGACCCTTTGGTCCATGATTGCTTCCGGGATGGCTAGCACAGTGGCTAACATACATAGCAGTATTGATACATCATTATTAAATAATGATAGATCAATAAATTAATATATACATAAACATGTTAAGCTTGCTGCCCGCTGAGGTGTTTTCCTAGATGGTGGATCTGTCTGTTGCTAAACAGAGAATCTTGTAGAAAAGATGTTTTTTTTGGCAGTATACAAAACATATTACCTTGTAAATGGTGACGTATTTAGTTCAATTTCCCATTCAATTGTGAGCTCCCTGAGAACAGGAAGAGTTCTGTTTGTCATTGAAATCCTTCAGAATAAGCATACAATCAGTGTTTGGAGTATGTACAAAAAGAATTTTCTGAGAATGAGCTGTTTATAGAACAAGAAAGTAGAAGCTATAAAGAAAATATGGCAATAACGTGATCCACTTGTTTTGCCCGGCCACCAAGGATACCTTGGTAAATATTAGTTAATGTGTAGCCTTTTGTTTGCTATTAAGATTTACTGATTTCAATAGAATAGGACCTAAAAACTGAACATGTTATATAACAATCAGCCACCAGGGACAATCTTTAACCACACAATAGTTTATAAAATACACACTGGTTCTGTCCATGGTTAGATTAAGTGCCATTGTCTAAGCAAAGTAGGATATGTACAATAATAGGTCTCTGTGTGAATGATGGGTTTGGTTAGTGGATGAATCTATCCTGTATCCTTGCATTGTCTACATATAATTCTTCTCACTTTGTGAACGAATAAATCAATAGCATTGACTAATCTAGTGTGTGTGAAAAACACCTTCAGTAAATCCCAGGTTTTCCTGAATAAATCCAACAATAAAGCTTCCTTTAAATCTCTCTTTCTTACATAACAGTGACACTTATATAGAGAGATTAACACGATATCTTGTTTCTTTCTGGTGTGATCTTACTTTCCTCTTGCAAATATGTCCCCATCTATGTTTGTAGCGTTGCCTGTAGCGCTGTGAACATTTGGAAAATTCAGCATCTCAGTGTGTTTTGGAAAATAAGCTGGGAGATGGATGATAACCAATTAATTCTGGCCACAAGTTATGTGGCATGACTTAGGAGAACAGCAAGAGAGCTATAGAGCGTGGCAAAGGAAAGGAGGGCAATGCTGGAATCCAACCCACACCTGCTTCCCAGGGACCTGAGCTGGTGGTTTGTCATGTCTTAGCATGACGGTATTCAAGCCATGTGAGGTTTGGAAAATATATATACCTGACCCGGGGCTTGGTCTGAGAATAGCCACTTGCCTTGTTCTAAGCCACACAACTCCACTATGGAATTAAGTGTTTTCAAGCTAATACAAATTAGCATCAGTCTACTGGCTGAAACCTAAGATAAATTAGGCTGGGTCTCAAAGACACCAGCCTGCAGCTGGACCAGCGCCCAACACCACCGTTTTCTTGCTTAGCCCAGACATGGATGCATCTGGCCAGAATATTTTGAAGATGCTGGTAAGTACAGACAATCTGGGGAAAGCATTATAGGCTGCTGGTTGCTTTTGTTTCATCTCTGCATAAGGCCAACCAGATGTTTTATTATTAATGTAGTTATGGAAACCCAAACTTATCCAAGAAATACATCAGGGGGTACTTCCTCATTTTATGGAAATATTCTTAATCTTCAAAAGTGAACAAATCTCAGAGAAGCTGGAGAAGGGTCATGAGGGGAAAAACCCAGAACATGGTGTTTTAGAAGCCATCTCTGAATTAAAATGTGTGACAAAGAGAATGTGGATTCTGTTGATACATATGGTCTTAGAATCGGTTATTTAAAGTGAGATCCACTGTGTGCAAAGCTTGGTAAATACTATTACCTATACACATGGAAGAAGGAGTCAGTGCCCAGAGCAATGAGAAGTGCCAGATGTGCAAGGCAGAGGATGTGCCTGGGGAAAGGAGGCTATTACCCCCGTGTGCCTCGCCTGGGACATCCCCTAATCCTCTTTGAGGATCCGAGGTTCATGAGGGTTGGGCAGGGCCCCTGAGCGCATGCATGCCTGTTTGTTCTCTTGGTAGCACCTTTTTGTGTGTGTATCTTTAGAATCTGTCCTTTACATTTCAAATCACCACAGTTGTGGTTTTCTTTTCACCACTTCTACTCGAGTCGGCTTTTTGTGTTTTTACCTAGGTTAAGGACTTGAGCAAGACACTGGAATATCACTTTTGTTTAAACTGTATCGCTGAGTTGGTTTCACTTCCTAGTTTTTAATGAATAAACATATTTTGAGAGGGGGATTTTGAAATCTATTTTAAAAACATATTTGCCTTTAAAGAAAAATACCGTGAAGACATTGCTAACCAGAGTGGACACACCTTGATTTTCTTTGATGCAGGGGAAGAAGCAGTTTAGTGTTTGTAACCCCTGAGTTTCACCACTGCTCACTATTTAGGGGAAAGTCCCTTTCCTTTTTTTGCTGTAAAATGGAAGTCACAAAAAATGTCATTGGTAAGAAACTATTGAGCAGATTTTGAATAGTCAGTGAATTGTTTCACTTATATTTGTGGAATAAATAGTAAGTGCTAATAAATCATGCCAGCATTTGAGATCTAGGAATGAATGAAAATAAGGTCTGAACTTGATGGGGTAGGATTCAGGGGTCACTGGCTTTGTAGCTCTGGGCCAACAAAGGAAGGATGAGATAGGATAATGGCCCTCTTACTGTTCTTTTTGGAAACATTGGCACACCATGGAGAGACAATAGGAACAGGTTTGTAGCTACATGGAAAAGGCCTCTGACATTGTCTGGTATGTTCTGATCTCGGCTCCAAATAGTCATTTAAAAGAAAGAAATCTGACCAATTCTGTACTCATCATGTGTGTTAGGGAAATCTGACTCTAGAATGGAAAATGTGATAACTGAGACACAGCATGATACAGGTTTCCCTGGACTGGAGGAAGGAAGCCTTTTGCTCCAGTTCTATCCTGCTGCTGGTTAGGTATTTGACTTAGGATAAGTCATTTAAATTTTCTGGGTGCCTATTCCCTTTATCAACAAATGAGTATATATGATAATTTAGGTAGTATATTGATGAATGTTTCTTTTTTCCAGTTATTTATCTTTATAGATCATAAAAATATAAATATTGTTTTAGGCTTATGATTTCTTATTAGAAGGCTAACTTTATTAAAGAAAAAGGGGTAGCTTGAAGAATAATATTAAATAAAAGCATAGGCCGTACTTATTTTTTTAAAACTAATTATGGCCAAACATTTTTAAGGTGTGTCATTGACTGATGTCAGGAGATACCTGAATATATGATCACTTGGTGTGTGTCCATTTTTATCTGTGTTGTTAGTTTTATATTTAAGCTGTCCTGGAGAAAGTTTCTATTGGAAATAGCTTCCAAATGCTTGCCCAAGTATTCAGTGAGCCAGGTAGTTTGAATTCCAGTTTCAGGCATAGTAGGTCTGTATGCTAGTCACCAGGCTCACTGCTGCTATACACATCTTATTTTTGTTTTCCTCTGATGTGTTCGCAGATCAGGGTGTTGACAGAAAGGATGTTCAAACATCTCCGGAAATGGTTTGTCACTCACTGTTCTCGGCGTTCTCGGCAGAGAGCAAGGCTAGTCTCCAAAGACGGAAGATGCAACATAGAATTTGGCAATGTGGATGCACGGTCGAGGTTTATATTTTTTGTGGACATCTGGACCACCGTGCTTGACCTCAAATGGAGATACAAAATGACCATTTTCATCTCAGCCTTCTTGGGGAGTTGGTTCCTCTTTGGTCTCCTGTGGTATGTGGTGGCCTATGTTCACAAAGACCTCCCAGAGTTCCATCCTCCTGACAATCACACCCCCTGTGTGGAGAACATACATGGCATGACCTCAGCTTTTCTATTTTCTCTGGAAACTCAAGTGACCATTGGATACGGATATAGGTGTGTGACGGAACAATGTGCTAGTGCCATTTTTCTACTAATATTCCAGTCTATTCTTGGAGTTATCATCAATTCTTTCATGTGTGGTGCCATCTTAGCCAAAATCTCCAGATCTAAAAAACGTGCCAAGACCATTACATTCAGCAAGAATGCAGTGATCAGTAAGCGGGGTGGGAAACTCTGTCTCCTAATCCGAGTGGCTAATCTTAGGAAGAGCCTCCTTATTGGAGGTCACATATATGGAAAACTTCTGAAAACCACAGTCACTCCTGAAGGAGAAACCATTATTTTGGACCAGACCAATATCAACTTCGTAGTTGATGCTGGCAATGAAAATTTATTCTTCATCTCCCCACTGACAATTTACCATATTATTGATCACAATAGTCCTTTCTTCCACATGGCAGCAGAAACACTTTCCCAGCAAGACTTTGAGTTAGTGGTATTTTTAGATGGCACAGTGGAGTCAACCAGTGCTACCTGCCAAGTCCGCACATCTTATGTTCCAGAGGAGGTGCTCTGGGGCTACCGTTTTGTTCCCATAGTTTCCAAGACCAAGGAAGGGAAATACCGAGTAGATTTCCATAACTTTAGTAAGACAGTGGAAGTGGAGACCCCACACTGTGCCATGTGTCTTTATAATGAGAAAGATGCTAGAGCCAGGGTAAAGCTAGGCTACGACAACCCCAACTTTAGCTTGTCAGAAGTCAGTGAAACAGTTGACACCAAAATGTAGAAGTTGCTTTCACCATGAAGCCAAGTTTTTCTAGGTACCTACTAACTTCAGCATTATGAAGCAATCAACAGTTTGGGGTTATGAATACAAGACAAGAACCTTCAAAGTCTACCAGCACAATGACCCCTAAACCCTATAGCTGTGATTCTACGAGATATGTGACTCTGCAAGACTACTGTGTTAGCAGTCATGATGCAGTCATATGAAACTGCATATGAAAGCCACAGGAGTTCACTTGTGGCTTTGAATATAATTATTTTAGGTCATTCAGTGTTGATGGGAAGAGATGAAATCATGAAGAGCCTCATGGACAGGCCACAGAAGATAGGTATTTTTAAAAGTTTCTTTGAAAAAGTTAGATGCTTTAAATGGGGTCAGGGAACAACCATATTTTTGTTCTGATAGGAAAAATGCCATTTCCATTTTAATACTGACTTTTATCAATGGGAAAGTTGTCTCCTGAGTTGGGGGAGATAAACTAACAAGCCAATGACAATAAGAAGAGATTACGACACAGTGAATAACGTGAGGATCTAACACTCTCGAACTCTGGTCACTGGAGTCTTCATCTGAGTCTGGATCACATGTGTTTCACAAGAAGGAAGGGAAAGAACAGTCCAGGGACTCAGCAGGAACTAAACTTGCTTTACATTATGGCTTATGCAGATGCAGCAGCCCACCTTGGGCTTTGGCCCAAATAATCTGTGGTGCATTTAGACAGAGGCGAGATCTGTACTCCAGAATCTTGATGGAATCCTTGCAAAACAGAATGCTTGAGTTGAAAAGGGTGATAATATTTTTTTCAGTCTTCATTGGGTGGGTTAAGGATCTACAGATGTGTTAAGAGTATTTCCTGCTCATCAAGACAGTAGTAAGGATTTTGAGACTGTGGTCAGTCTAAAGGGCTATGGAATGCTGATGGTTAAAGTGTATTGTGTTTCTCTGCCTAGGCTTTGCACTGAAACACTATTTCTGAGGCAGGAAAGGGAAAGCAATAAGGTGTGGTCTCCCAGTCAGAACATCTTGAGGCCTTTGTGTCTCTAAAAGCCATCCCCATACCTTCCTAAAAGTGACCAACATAATGGAAAGATTGCCCCTTAGGGGAAGGTTTTAACGTGAATATATTGCATAATTTCCCACCTGAATTATTTTGAATGTATCCTGGGAAAAAATGGAAATCAAAGCTCCTTGGGAATCAAAATGATTCAGTGTGTTAATTAATATATTAAATTTCTGAAACTGTGCATGGTCTTTGTCATGTCCATTTTTATGCATTAAATGTGACAGGGTGACTGGGGAAAATACTTTTGCCTAGGGTGGACTTTCTCCTGCAAGGCACAGAGCTGGTGGAAAGGAAGCAGGCAGATAGAATGCATTGGTTGTCTTGATTCTCTGCAGGAAATGAGCTTGGCTACAGACACACCCCTTCTGGTACAGCTCCATCAATCTGTACCGCAGCAGCTGCTGGCAGGTGTTGGTATAGGCGCCTGTCTTTGCTTGGACTTAGCTTGTACAGATCCATACATACACTCTTGTCCTTCTGATCCAGACCAATGGGAACTCTAGTAGGTCTAGGGCTGTACACTTTGTCAGTGTCCAAAGCAGGGCACACAACTAGCTGCTGTGGGAGATTACCCTTGCCTGAAAGAATTTTGAGACCAGAACTTACTCTGCTGACAAAGCTAAAAAAATCAAAACCTTGAAGAAGCTGGAATTCTCTGCTGCCTCATTATCAAGAGGTTTTATGGCCTTATATCCATTTATAAAACGGAGGGGCAATATATTAACTTAGGTCCCTCACATCTGAGCTCATTCCTCTAGTCTTCGCTGCTCCCTCGCAGCAGGCTTAGGAATGGATGGAAGGACAATGCTTAGAAGCAAACCAGTATCTTTGATTGTTAAGGGAGATGGATGATTGGAGTCTTTCTGATTGGGTTTTGTTTTTGGATTATTTTGTGGAAAGCTTGTCTGCTTCCAAATATTCCTTTATTTGGATCAAAGTACTCTGTGATTGGATTGAAGTCTTCCTTTTAATACCCATTCTCATTGAGCCTCTCCTTGAGCAACCATTAAGTACAGCCACTAAAACTCTTTGGAAATTGACCTGGGGAAGGTAACTTTGGATAATTCTAAAGGAAACCCAAAAGCAGCACAAGGAACTCTAGGCATTTGTAGGGAAAGGATTACAAGGGCAAGGAAACCAGCAAGAGAAATAGATCGGCAATCATCACAAGGCCAACTGACCTCTAGGTTAAGGCCAAAGCTAACTGTTGCCTCTTTATTCCCATGCAGTAACATTTTCCCCAGTAAGACCTGACCACACCAGTACTCTTATTAGTTATAGGTATGTTATAGTGTTATATTTATTGATTTTCCATTTCAAAATCAATTATCTTTTTCTTATTCCCTTAAAAACCTGCATCCCTTCAAGGCACTATTATATGCAAATTTTTCCTCAGTATGGCTTCTCTATGAATTGCCCAATCTATCTCTGTTGTTATGGTGATTCTGACTTGGAGAGTCTGACACAGGTTAGCCTTCCTGGACCTTTGCTGGCTCAATGGCCAGTATGTAGAGTGGAGATTTGGGAGACTACCTTTAATAAAGGGCAGAAGGAAAAGAGTCTTTGAGCAGCCAAATGAAAGAAGTGAGGTGATCAGAGTGTCTGTTTCCATCTTGACAGCAGACCTCAAGGAAAATCTTCCCAAGTGAGTGGTAGGCACAGTGGAACATGCATGGTCCCTAGAGTTTCATAAAACAAGAGACGAGTCCTCAATAGGATCCTCTGTGAATGACCTGGGGAACCTTCCTCTGTCTAGCACAAACTTAGTTAAAGCTCTGGTGGAAAGAATGCAAATGAACCTTTGGCCCCGCCCCTGGGCCGTTGCTGTCTGCCATTACAGGAAGTGTGTGTCAATCAAAGCTTGACAGGGGAGATAGAGCATTTTATTTTGGAAGCCAGAAGTTTGAGAACAATGACTGGAATTTCCTCTTTCTGTCCAGCAAGGGCTGTTTGTCATTGGGGAGATAAAAGTCCAGGGGTAGGGAATAAAGGTTATCGGGATCTGCGCAAGGCAGAGCCATGTGGGGGGGCATGATGGGAGGAGGGGTTATGGAGGAAATCTATTTCAATGCCTGTCATTAAGTTTCCATTAAAAGAACATTCAGTTAGGAATTCAAAAATAATTTAATCTCCCCAGCCAGATGCGCCCAGCTGGACTCTCTGGAGCAAAGCCCTGTAGAGGGGGAGATCTTGCACCACAAGGGCTGGGGACTTTGTGTATCCCCACCCAGTGCATCCCTGACTGGGATGGGCATTCTGGAAGCCACCACATCTTTCTGGAGAGTGAGAAACCTCAAGACTTGTGCTATGGTAGGAGGAACTTTCAATGTTGGGGTATTTGCAAAGGCTTTATTATTTTTTAAGTTCTCTTTTAAGCATTTTATCTACATTTCCTCATTTAAGTTTTCCAACAATCCTATGAGATCAGAACAATCATCACACCTATTTTTTGTGTGAGCCAGCTGAAATAAGAAACTTGTCCAGAGTCCTCAGCTGGTAGGTGTCAGGGCTCAACCTCATGCCAGTCTTCCTTTAAACCTCTAGAGTTTAAAATCACTCACATCTACATCCTATGTGGGATCATACTGTTATACTGTGACAGGTCTTACCTGGCCCACCTGTCACCTGCACCCCAGGAATGCAACATGCTCCTGATCTGCTGTCACACTTTGGGAACATTGATTGAATGGCACAGGGGTTGGTGCTGGCCAGGCTTAATCAACACTCTGGAATTGCAGCGCAAGAAAAAAATCAGTGTTTTTCCAGGAGCTCTGGGTAACTTGCCCAGTGTGTCTCCAGAAGTATTGTGTGCATCCCGAGGACCTGACTAACCCATTGGTGAATATTTATAGTAAGAAATGTGATTGAAATACATAGTGAATGTTTAAATAAAAATATAGTAAAAGACACATTGTCATTAATAGGGGGATTAAGGAAGAGGAAGGGGATAGGGAGGAAGGGAAAGAAAAAATGAGAAAAGAAGGATAAAATGAAAACTGAGCTTTGTGAATGGGGAGGGGAAGGGGGTTTGAAAAGAGGGGATGGGAATGAGAGAGGGAAAAAAGAGGAATCAAGGTATATCATGTACAGATACAAATTCCCTGTAGTGAATATGGTCATTGTGTATACCTAAATTGATCCAATAAACTGAAATAAATAAATAAGTAGGGGGATTAATAGTGTGTGTTGAATACACATAACCCATCATTCTTGTCACTCTCTGAAGCAGTCCTCAGGTCCTCTTTTATGAGTGTATGTATGAAATGTGATTTAATAAAACACCACGAGTACTGCTGCAGAGTGTCATCCAGTGGAAATACAGGCTTGTAAAAACATTGCAGTATGTCCTCTTCCACTTTATTAATGAGATCTGGCACTGTGTGACTTTTGGCTCTTCACCAAAGTCAAAAGGACCATGAAAGGTAAACATGTTGAGTCAATCTAAGACATCTAGACAGCCACAATAGCACAAGTAAAGACATTCAGGAAAGAGGACTTCCAGAACTGCTTCAGAAGGTGGTCAGAATGACGGCGTAAGTGTGTGTGAAGTGAGGAGGAGTATTTTGAGGGAGATTAATGACAGCATGTCTTTACTCATAGTAAATTTTTGAAATTTCAAACATATTTTGCACACACACCAATATGTACATATATTTATGTGACACTAAATATACGCACACTAATATACCAATTGTACATAAATAAAACTATATAATATTTTGTTTCAGTCTCTAAGCTAGAGACATATAAGGTTTTATAAATGGAAAAGTGGAATCTCAGTTATCCTTGATTAACAGGATCTGCACTGTCTACTCACTTCTGTATTTATACGATCAGCAAACTTCTTCCTACAGTCAATAAATGGTTTCAGAGTGAATGCGTAAAAATGAAAGAATGGCTTTCTCAGAAGTGCATGGCTAACTGTAGATGTGAACTTTTATCTGTCCACTGAGGTTTGATCAAGTTATATCATTTACCAGTGGAGGGACCTTGACAGGCATCTTAACTTTGTTGAGTCTCAGTTTCCTTGTTTGTAAATTGGACTTTCAAAATATGGTTGAAGGGAGAACTGAGTGAATAATAGATGGGAAAGTCCCTTTGTAGAAAGTAAATGGCAACCGAGGAGGGCAGGAACAATTGGATTGAACTGCAAGGGCTGCAGGAGAAGGGGATGGTCCTCAGGGCAGTCCCCACATCGTATCTTGGCAGGTGAGGAAAGTAGAGCCTTGGGTGGTGCCCTGGCAGAGATCAGAGGAGGCCTCCAGGAAGAAATGAGAGCACCTCAGAGGCCCACTGAGGTGGGGTGAGCTATGAGGTGGGAATTTGAGGAGAATCGTGATCCTTACAGTTCATTTCAATCCCACAAGTGCTCCTCCAGGGCTTACTGTGAGCCAGGCACTGGGAATGTCCACATGAGGGGGCACAGGAATCCTATCTGCTGCAACAAAGGGTGCAGGGGCTCTAATCTTCGTAAGAAGCACCGGCACTAGCTTGTAAAACTGCTGCTTGTGCAGAAAGTCAATGTTTTTGCTTATGCAATGTATACATGTAATAATTTCAAAACCCAATTTTGACCTCATCATTGACCTTAAGACTACTGATTGTAATTTTTAAATAATTTGGGACTAAAAATTTGTTTGTGATAGATCCTACTAGAGACACACAGATGATGAATTATTTTTAAATCACTTGTAGTTGTTTTCTCAGTGTGATCGTGTACCAGCTTGACAGGTTCATTTCTTTCAATACCTTTCCCATTGTTAGAATGTTTATTGTTTTTCTGTTTACTCAACTTTTCTTTTCATGATTATAAAAATAATGTGTATGATTTCACAGTCATGACACAGAGTTTAGAAAATACTTCCTTTCTTCTGCCCAATACTCTGCTCCCTTCTCCTTCTGTAAAGCTACGCATTCTCATTACTTTTATCCTAGAGCTGTTTTTGAAAATTTTACTTTATTAAAATAATAAAATAATGATGGTACATGTTGCAAGGTACGATGTAAGGTTTTGATACATGTATATGTTGTGCAGTACTCAAACTAGGTTCTATATCATCACCTCCAAAATTTATCATTCCTTTGTGATGAGAACATTTAAAACTCCTTCAGCTATTTTGAAATACATATGTAACATATCATTCTTACTTATAATCACTGTGCTGTGCATGAGGTCACCAA